AACCGTCTTCACATACTTCTAGATATCTGCTTGAGTGTCCTGGGGGAAAAGTTGAACTTCGGCCCACTCCACTGACCAACAGTGCGTTGCAAGAGAAAAAAAGGTAGTCTAGAGCTTCACTTTCTATTTCAAGTGAACAGGGCTGCCGTCAGGGGGGTACGGCCAGTACCATTGTAAGGGGCCCCGGCGGCCGGGGGGCCTGGGCTCCAAGTTATAATTTTTCCCTGTAGAATTATATGAATAGTACCATTTGCCTGGTCCTGCCCCCCCCCCCCGCGCTATTGGTACCTTCCTCAGAAGTGCTTACAGGGGGGCGGAGCTAACTTTCCCCGGCAGAAGCACCGGAGATCGTGGCAGAAGAGGATGAAGAGGAGCATGTCTGCTGCCGTCTGCCTGGAGGGGAAAGGTACTTACCGTTCCCTTTCCCAGCAGACAGAGGCCCCCGAAGATGGTGGGGGTTGTGATAGGGACTGGGCAGAGAGAAAGAGTGAGAGAGACAGATCGACCGACGCTGAGAGCTTCTTAGCATTGGCGGTCGGTCTCTCTCATGCTTCCCTCCCTCCTCTCAGCATAGTCGGTCTGTGTCTCACTCTTTCCCCCCTCCTCCTCCCCTAAGAGAAGGGGGGAAGAGTGAGAGAGACCGACGGACACTGAGGGGGGAGGGGGGAGTGAGCAACGGACAGAAATGATGGAGCTACGTGCATGCCTACCTGACAGACCCTTCCCCCCCTTCCTCAATCACATGTTTTATTCATGACCTAAACTTCAGAAAACTGGTTGTCAGGTACAATATGCACATTTTAATACAGAATGCACATTGAGGACATTGGAGTATGAGAAGGAGCTGACTACAAAGTGACCCCAGTACCACATTAAAGAGGACACAACGTTCTATAGTGATAATAAAGTGCAGGTGCAAACACTGGGATCTGTGTAAAGGTCGCCATACACCTTTCAACCATCGCACGACTTTTGTTGTGCGATTGTTGTAAGGTGATTAAAAGTTTTTACGACCTGCCCATCTTGGACAGGCAGATCGTACTTGCGATCATCGCAAGTCCTCCCCGCTGAGGGGAGGGCTTGCAGATGATTGCAATGGTGAGCGGGCAGTGTGCGCTTGCGTACCTCAGGTGTGCGGCTTTCGCCTTGAGATCGCTCTACCAATTTTCGGCAGGTTTTCTAGCGTGCTCGTTATATGAAAATCGTGCGACCGTACAGTAAATGCGGTTGCACGCTGCCCATACACCTTACGATTATTTTACGATCGGGGATCACCCGTTACGATATTTGTACGATCGCAGGATCACCCGCTTATAGTACGATAATTGTCAGGTGTATGGGCAGCTTAAGAACATAAGGAGAAAACACTGAGAAGAGGGGGAGGGGGAAGAGTGAGAGGCCCAGAACCTGTGTGCTGAAATTTCTTTACATCAGGGAAATGGATTATAATAGGGAATATTACAATGTAATGGAGGGGTGTGGAATTCCTATTGCCCGTAGCCCGAGACAGGCAGTCCTGGGCGCCGGGCGAGTAGTTTTTTTTCTACATTGAGGGCCAGTTCACACCACAAAAGGCTGCGGGAGCCAACCAGCTTGCGTTCCAGAGGTTGAACGCCCTGGAACACAGCCTTTATGTTGTGAATCGGCCCTTAACCCTGCTTCGGGCAGGCAGCAAGGCTAAATGTAAAGTGGGAGCCATTTTGTACAGGTGATCTTGAGCGGCAGTACAGCCATCCAAAATCACTTGTAACCAGCCTGATTCTCCTACCCCTCCCTTCTCTCTCTCCGGTGGGCATGTCCCCAGCCTCTCCCTCTGATATCGCTCCCTTTCTCCCTGCCCACTGGATCCCTTTCTGCTGTGCTCTTTGGGGTCCCCCGCTCTTCTGGAGCACCGGATTCACGGCAAACTAGATCAGGATGGAGAGCGGGGAGCAGAGTAGAAAACGTCCGTTTTCTGCTCTGCTCCGTGTGAGCAGTGACACAGGAAAGCTGTACTCACAGACTCCTGTCACAGGAAAACGAGCACAGTGCTTCTAGAACTCCTGTGTTGGAGGTGACGGGGGTCAATAAAGAGAACCTGTCACCTCCAAATGCTATCACACAGGGACTTGTTTGCTTCTGTGTAATACCAGTGAAGTCAAGTGAAAAAAAATAGTCAAAAAATAAATAACAATTAAAAATGTAAATACATCAAAATGTAAAAAATTATAATTACAAATGGGAATAAAAAGGCGACAAAGTAAAAAATAATACAATAAATGAAAGTAAATTTTTTTTGCAAAGTACAAAAATTATAAAGTAAATAAAAAAAATTAAACCAAACCCCTGCCCCTACCATCTGCATGCGAATAAACGCATGCAGGGGGCATTGTGTGTGTGAGCGGAGTGGGCGATCCAAAAACTAATGCTGTGTAAGGGGCCCCAAAATTTCTGATGGCTGCCCTGAGTGAACCTGTCAAACCTACCCTGTGTGCCTCTCTGATTTGTTTCACTTTGCAATGGGGATAAGTCTTTCCTGATATTGGACCTGCCCAACTTCAATCCTTCGTCCAACGACAGTGGCCAAGCCAGACACTCTTATTTACCAGAGTGCAAGCAGGTGCAGAGAGCTTAGCTCTGAAATCAGGGAATTAGGTCCTGCGATCCAAAGTGAAACCATATCAGAAAGGCACACAGATGAGGATTTGGGGCTAATACATGTAATCACAGATACCTTGTGGTGTCTGTTCAAAGATAGGACTTTTACATTAAAAGTTGAAAAATGGCTGACAAGTTAATTATATAACAGAGCACCTTGTGTTTAGGGGCTACCAAGGCTCCACTGTAAGTATATAAAGATGTGTCCTGACACCTCCTTCGACTTCTGTGTGAAGGTTAATGTTTTTCTGATGTGACAGGTTTACTTTAGGAGTGGCAAAAAGCAAACAGTAGGTATACCTCACTTGGAGCTCCTAACAGGTTCTCTAGGGTACATCAGCCTGCTGAAGCTGAATAACATTAAACTAAGGTTGAAGCAAATAATAAATCCCAGTTCAAACCAATCAAAGCATGTGCTTATAGCAATTTAAAGATGAACGCTCAGCAAACACCTAAAGTTGAAATACAAATATTTGAAATGCTTTACGTGAAAAAAGGTTTGCTATTCTGTTCAGCCAATATAATTATCCAGACCCCCTGCCGTACAACAGAGTCAGGTATGTGACCTTCTGTGAAATTAAAAAGCACAGCTGGTCAGGGACAATTCCATTGTGACTGGTCATTAAAGGAGAAGCAGGACCTGGATGTGGCCATCGCTCTGCATTCTTCTCCTGTAAATATTTTGACACTGTTACAATGACAACACTCTACAGGGCATTGCAGCCCCTAATGGCTCAAAGTTCTACCTCTGATACTCTCAATGTTAGAGACACTGCCACCTTACCCATTAGGGGCAATGTTGCAGTGTCATTGCAAATGGGCCCTCCCAATCCATTGATACTCACCTTGCCAGTGTGCTCCCATTAAACCTTCCTCAGTTGCAGTGGGCACTGAAAACCCCCAATGTCGGAGGCTAGAGGGAGCAGTAACATACCTTTTACATACACACCCTTTGTCATGTTACAGTGTTTGGGCCTAGTGCCTGGCTGTTAGACCCGAGCACTGTCACATAGGTGGAGGTCATATACTCCCCCAAAACCATCAGCACTGGGTACTGTCCCCGGCTGCAACAGAGCAAAGAGTGAAGGGGGAGTTCTGGTAAAGTATCAGTGTATTGGGGTTCCTTGTATACACACTGCAAGTTTGTCCTGAATGGTAGAGAGAATGCCTCTTTAAAGATGCCGTAAAAGGAAGTGTAGGAATACAGTAAGCTGCATTTAATAATTGATTTGATGATCCTTTTAATGTATACATAAACGGATTCAATTAAATTACTTTTCCCATCTGCAGCTCTCCAATCAAAAACATGCATGCTCCCTTTAGAGAGGTTATACACTCCAAGTTTGTTTAATCTAAAACTACAGGGTGTACTCGGTAAAGAAGGATCTTTATAAATGGTACGCAGTTTCATTAAGTCATGAAGTGGTGAATGTTGCTCCAAAATTCTTAAAAACTAAAAGATCACTTTTTATAGGGAGGACCCTCTCCTAGGAAATAGGATGCACGTTCACAAAGCCAGCTCACAGACCTGTCTGACTAAGCCCAGAAAAAAGGCATTCCAACAGACCGTACAGACCATACACATACTGCAGAACAATATGCACTCACTGGTCACTTTTTTAGGTACACCTGTTCAATTGCTTGGTAACACAAATTGCTAATCAGCCAAGCACATGGCAGCAACTCAATACATTTAGGGATCTAGATTTGGTGAAGACGACTTGCTAAAGTTTAAATTGAGCATCAGAATGGGGAAGAAAGGGGATTTAGGTGACTTTGAACGTGGCATGTACCCACCTAATCTGCATGGAAAAAGTGGCTTGGAGTTTGATGGGTACATTAATTGTAACTAGATTTGTCATTAGGCCAGATAGGCCATGGTCTAAGGTTCCACTGACATTGGGGTGGCACTCTCTCTGGAATACACAGGACTGTCTGGGAGGTTCCGGGGCACTCCTAAGTAGAGCTGTAGGGAATGCTCACCCCCTCCCCCCGCTGTAAAATGTGCTCCTCCACCCCTCTGAAGTTCCCTCCATTCCATTCCTAGAGCCCCCCAAGTGTGTGTGTGCACAACCATAAATTCAGCATAAATCGGCAGTATGTGGGAAAGCCTCTTAATAGTCAAACTGCATTATGTGCAGTGACTAGTTGTATTTTCAGCATAAACAATGAGTACAGAATCACAGGCACGTTTTTGTTTCTGCTATATGCCCATTTTATTGTGGAATATTTTTTTTAATGTCAAACAGTGCATCCAAAAAATAAACAAATTTGGAATATACAAATACTGTTATTCACATAGTATATTTATTAGTTTCCTGTGGACCGGTGTTTCCTTTTTAATTACAAAACCCAGGACTTTACATGTGGACTATATATAATATACACTTGCAATGCAGGCACAGTCATTCTGCTAGTACAGTTTGCTGTTGCGGAAGAAATGTAATGTGTTGGACATAAAATGTGACTTGATATATTTTTTAATATAAGAGAGTACAGTTGTGTCACATAGAAGAGGCAGACACATGGATTGTCATGTCACACTGGGTTTACTGCCGTTGAAATTAATTCTACCTCTCTTAGGTCTCCCTCTCGGGAGGAGCTGTCACCAATCCACAGTGCTCTGAAGACTTTGTTCACCATCTGAAGGTATAAAACAAAATGTAGTTTGCATCTATTGTTATAAAATGAAGGACTTAGGAGTCTGCACGACTGGGACCACGACCCCCAATCGCACATTACGCCGCATTTGCTATTTGTTGTTTATGCACTTTCTTACTTCAATCGATGTAACACCCCTCTGGTTCAGCTTTTCCCTGGATAGAAGCTGCAGGCACAGCAATTGCTGGGCCCCTTCCAAGGAACATTAAAGCCCGTGATCCCATCACATAGACATTACTGAGCTGCTTGCTGTGGGTCTCCATGCGGGAGGTGATTGGTTCTCGCAGGAGGGGATGCTTAAGTCAGTGCCAATAGTGGGGGCTCCGTGGGTACCGATTCCTCATCACCCAGGCAACGGCAAAAGGAGGGAGCAAATGGCTCAGATGAGCCCTTATTAAACAGAGCTTTTGATTAGTAGCACACACTGCCTGGTTCTGGAAACTCCAAAAAGTGAAATGGAGGGGGGGTCCCTGACCCCTGCCCACAGTCCATAAACTGTAAAGCTGTAAGATGTGATAAAGTAATGGACTGATGCTCTTACGATCTTTGTATACCGAAAAGGGTTAATGAGGAATGATCTTCGGTCTAAAGGGCTATGAAGCTGGTAATAGAGTGATACTTCCCAGATCTACCGAGCTGACGTAACATACTGTTTCATTTTCTCTCTTCACACCTGCCTGCCAGAGGTGGCGAATGACATCAGCGTCTGCAATCAGCGGTACGCAGGCAGTTGTTGGAGTTCTCAGCGTAGTCTACAATGTGGTCATTTGCTCTGGCTGTTTCTCTTCCCGACATTTGCAGTCTATTATCTTTGCACACTCATCCGTGGCTGGGGTCTTTCGGAGGTGAGATGACTATAGTGAAGCAAGAAAAAAAAAAAAGTTACAGCTTTAATTGGTAATCTGCGCTAAACTTTCTGACATAAAATCATTTTCAGCACCTATGATAAATATACGGTTCAACACAATGTGAAACTTCCATGAATCGTGTTCCAATTGTTTTCCCCACAATATCCGTTATATTAGTTACCTGGTTTGTGGGGTCTAATTATAAGAAAAAAATAAATGATCATATTTTGATGTTTTTTAAAAGAAATAGGAATTTCAACATTTACAGATAGAGCTGCTTAGTGCAACTATGCTTCGAAATATTTCTACGATAAGGAAAAACATTCCAATGAAACCCATTATGCAGACAGACTTTCTGATAGTTTTTACCACTGTACCTCTGGCAAAGCGCAATGTTTAAAGTGACATTGTCATTACAGGGTGAAAATTAACGGAAGCGCAGGCTGTGATGAAAGATGGTGGTAAATACTTATCCTCGTCTCTTAAAACTTCGGAGTGTTGCTGATTTCCATCCATTGCAAGTATCTGACACTTCTGGGTGTGTTGAATGCCTTCTTACCCTGCGGTTCCTCCTGTTGGCTCACATGTCCTGTAGTGACATAAAAGCCAGAAGGAATAACAACAACGTGTGGCATGAGGAGCGGGTATTCACACACCTGGAAGTGTCAGATATGCAGTGGCCGGAAAACATTAAAGCGCCTGAGTTTAAACACACAGACCACCTGAAAAATAAGTACATACCAGGGAAAGGGCAACCTTTCTATTTGCGGTGAACCTACAAATCCCATAAGGCATTGCAAGGTTCTGGCATTGATGTTATGACTCCTGGAGGCATGATGAGATTTTATTAGTTTCACACAGCTGGAGTGCCAACGTTGCCTACCCTTAGTACCATCTTCTTTTTGTTCCATGGAATCTCTAGTCAGACAGAAATCTGATGATTCCCTCTCCAATTTAATTCTCATGAACTCCTAAACCATGTAGGGATTGGGTGCTACTATACACTTGGGAATTGGTCACTTCTGGCCTCAACATCATGCTCTTCTGAGTGTCAGGGAAAAAAAGAAAAATGGTCTGCAGACAACACAGTGTATGTCCCTTAAGACAGCAGTGCAAAGCAAACTTTTATTGAGCGCTCATGTATTTCAATCCACTCAGCTCAAAATGCTGTTTGTTCTGGGCACCAGAAGCATGTGCCAAGAGCTTCATTCCCATGCTCATCTGAAAGGCGTTTTAGTGGCAGCAATTCACAGAAAAAGCATTTTTTTTTTAATTTAAAAAACAAAAAACATACTGTATTTTAAATTGAAAGCAGTCCAGACTTCTTGGCAATGGGTTAATCCAGAAGGACAACTTTGATGTGAGGACATGGCTTCTAAATCTGTGACCTTTGCACACATTCAGTCTCTGCAGGCACTGCAATCTCCACTTTGTAGCATAATGAATGAGCATAGGAAACAAGTCTAAATCCCACTGCCATTTAGAAAGCAGCTAAGAAATAAAAAAAAAAAAGAAAGAAAGGTGTGCTGCAGAGTAAGTTTATAATGCTTCCTAAATGATACTCTGCTAGTTACACAACAATACGTAAAGTGTACAATTACTGCCAAAAGCCTTGCGTCTGGATTACAGATAAAGATGGCAGCATCGTACCACTTGAACATTTAACTGTCGAGTGTAGAAATAACATAAATAAATAAATAAATGACCCTCTAAGAATGGCAGTGTACATTTCACAATTTCACTGTACACTAATAATGCTTTATATATTTTTACAAATAAAAGACATGGGCAAGGCGGAGAGACAGAGGCTGAAAATGCCATCTGAAGGATTGCAGCTTTATTGATTTCTCTATATACTAATCATACAGGGTGTGCCATTTCCATGGCTCGTAAGAAATAGATAAAGGACATGAGCTAGATGGATTTATTTTGTAAAGGAAAGAGCGGTGTGAAGAGTGCAGTGACTCATAGTAACCAATCAGCAATCTTCTTTTATTGCTTTGACTCTGTAACTGCACTTAGTCATTACTGTCTCCATTACTTGACAACTAACAACAAAAATAGAATTTTTGTACTCAATGTAAAATCATTTTCTCAGAGTCTGAGTCGGTGTCCCTCAGTGGATGAGATGGAAATATAAGCAACTACTGAACTAATGAAAAAAACTTCTGTTCACAACTACCAAATTCCCTCACTTGTTTTAAATAAATGTGAACACATCGCTGTCCACCCAACATTGGATGCTGGTGGACTGAATTGCATACTGGCTTCCAGTTTTTCCAGACTCTAGAGGCAGGTTCTCTTTAATGTCCCCCTTGGCTCCAGCCCCAAAGCAGCAAGACAAGAAAGTCTATTCTCCTCATTATAATCTCTATAATGCAAACAATTGTTAAATCCAGCCACAAGAAAGAAGCAATGATAGTGGCTACAGCATGTTGGGAATTCAGAGTAACAAATGCATCAGTAAGGTGCCTATGGCCCAATTCACATGAGGTGTACTGGCATTCCTCCAGCAAGAGTACTTGAGGTTCCTCTCTGGTGCTCCTGTTCAGATGTGGCCACTGTACCTATTTAAGTAGATGGCAGGGTGACAGGCCGCATCTGTCAGCATGTTACAATTACATGTGGTTTGGGATAGATGATTGTTGTTTGATGCGTCTATCCTGCATCCAGGGACAATCATCTATCCCAAACCACATGTGACCGTACCATGTATGATTACATGCGGACCTCTGCTGACAAATCTGGCTGCTGTTACCCTGTTGTTTACATCAATGAGTACAGCAGCTGCATCTGAAAAGGACATCTGGGATTCCTGCTACAAGAATCCATAGATTTTTGCCACGGGAATCCCAGAACGCAGCATAAGTCCTTGTGTGAATGGGGCCTAAGTGAAAAATGAATACAGCCCACATGTGTCTACTAGTAACTGAAAGATACATGATTAGCAAACTGGCTCTTTAAAGCTAGACTCCTGGTAGACAGCACCACTACCAGAAAGTAAAAGAAGGTCTCTGACCTATAGTGCAGTTAAGGAGCACAGCTTGGTCCACGACTCACTTATAGCCTGCTGACTGAACAATGAAGGAGCAGCGGTATATTGATGAGGTCACTCCGTGCTTTGCCTTCCTGTATGCATGCTCACCATGTAAAGACAGACAACACTGTGCAAAATAACAGAGACCTAATTGGCTCTGTATGCTGCTGTGCAGGGGATTACAGATTGTTGATATAAAATATTCATATAATTATGCAAACTGTAATTAAAATACATTTGATGAACCTTTTAAGCCTTTGACACCCATGTGCCATAGGCTACTGTTCTTAGACATGGCTCCCTATGCCAAGAGAGTGTTAAAGGAGAACTATGGGTTGAGTGAAATACACTCATCCGCATAGTTAGAGCCGGCGTCCAACATTGCGGCTGTCACAAGTTGGCTCTATTGATCGAGAACTGAGCATTTACATACCGCTGATCGCTGTCAGTCCCCACTCCCCGCAGGGATTTCCCCCTCCATTCCTCCGGGCTGACTGGAGGGACATAGCAATAGCCCGCTATATGCTGTTTTGGGTCACAGGAGGAGATTAGTCAAATGTCCTCCTGTGACCCTAAAGAGAACTACGTCCAAAAAAGGTTTGGCCATAGTTCTCTTTTAATCCACATTCCATCAAGGAACTAAGAAGCACCCTGTGCACGCTCCTAGTTTTGAGATCACTCCATCACTGACAGCCACAGGTCTCACACTAATGATCAGGAACCAATCACCTTGGTTTCCAATGATATGATCACCATGATAGCCAATCATGGTGGGGTATGTTTACAAACACACCTGCCAGCTAGAGCTGCATTACAGTGTCTACAAAATTATTTGTAAAAGTTAAAAGAAAAATTGATTAAAATGGATTGTGTAATATAACCAATGCCTAGCTCTGACTGAGGCAGTAGAAAGATCAGCCTCTCTGAGCTGGTTTGCCATGGAGAATAAAAGTGAATAACAAAACACACGCCTATCTCTGAGTGGTAATGTTGCACTGAAACAGATAAGGACCTTGTGTCCATGGGCAAATATAGCGTGCTTTCAGGTACATTCTGCTTGCATCTGAGACCACTCAGAATTCATTGACAGGTGCATCTGCCTTCCTTCTAACCTGCAGTTTACCTCCTAAGTTGTATCAAGCTGCTTCAAGTTGCTTTTCTGTTCCCATTGACATTAATGTGGAAAGAATCAGTTCTGGGGAAAACAAAAGTCACCGGCACAGGCCCTATTAGTGGAGATTTCGATTCTAACAAATGTCCTTTTCTAACATACAGTATAAGCCATGTCTACATATGAAAAAAATGCCATAAGGGACAAGTGTAATGGCATAAGGTATTTAATGAGGTCTTCATATGCAACAGTAGCAGCAATGACAATTTCTAATCTCTTTCCAGCTGAACAAAACTGTTAAAACAACTTCTTATTCTAAGGCAACACAAGAGTTTGAAAATGCTGAGAAAAACATTTTAAAGCAGTATTCCATAGCCACCTGAACTTCTCTTGCTGTGACAATTGCAGAATCAAGAATTCTGGTTGCTTGATATTGGTTACAGCGCCTTGGCCTTGCACTCCCATTGCTAAAATTTTCAAGCACATTATTTATTCACTTCTACTGCAGAAGAGACATACTATATATTTTCTAAAGTAAAAGAATTCTTAATTTCCTCCTCGCAATCTCTTTACAGTGTACACTGACTGAGCTGTACATGTGGAGCTCGGTGTACAGTCAGGTGCCAGGATGACCATTTTCCTGTATGTATGCATGGCAGTAACATGATCCTGGCCCAGCCAATTAAGGTGGCAGAAGAAGTTGAACCTAGGAAAAGATGGCAAGAAGATGTTGGCGCCGGTGAGGGCGCTCGCAGACATCACATCGCTGGAGTGGAGGGGAGGGGAGTACTACAGCTTGTTGACCCAGAGCTTAGTTGTCTATCTTACTAATCTTATGTTTAGTTTTGCACTTTGAATAAACATACTCAAAAATCCATTATTTGTCTGGAAGCCTCGTAATCATGTTAACAATGAATAATACGGCTTTATATTATTGTTTGTAACAAATGACTTTCTAATGGCCTATCTAATGTACGGCCTTTCAGTTGTGTTCCACCTCCAGGTCACATTTACTGCACTGACCCTTATAAACATACCTTTGTGGCCAAACAGAGCCATGTAGTTTGTTTCATTAATAAAAGGTTCAGTATAATATACGGGTAATGCAAACAGGTTTGTTGCTATTTCAATCTCTATGGTTATGTATGAAAGAAAAGTGATACAATATTGGACTTTGGAGTATTCTACCACTACAATCTCATGTTTAGTTTACTAATTTGTATTGAGATTGTAGTCCATCACGGGAGCAATCTTAAAGCAGTGGCAACACATACAGGGACCATGGGGAACAAAAGTTGCCACGCTCCAGAAGGAAGGAGACCGCGTTAGCACCAATTCACTGATGATTTGAGATCTACAGCCGAGTGATATACAAATAAGATACATTTTTGTTAATACTTAGGATACTTGAATATATTTTTAAGATTTAACTCCTGAGTTTAGTATCACTTTAATGCACTACCATAACAGAAGACATACGGTGCAACAAAGTCTAAAACGCACCATCTACTCCATGACTATTGATGCTTGTTTCATGCAGTTATCCTAAACTATTTGTAACCACCCCTAATAATGTACTAGTTCCATTATTGTTAAATAAAGTACAAGGGTAGAGAAGCATCAATTTAAAAAGCTACTTAGGGACCTTAAAATGGCATAACAACTGCGTTAAGGGAATGATCAATGAGTAGTATTACTTGCTCTAAGCGGCAGCACACGCTTTATCTCCTCCATCTTACACTGACCTCTACCCTTTCTATGCTGGGCCTCCTGCTGGCTTGACGTTCTACACATCCATTAGGAAAACCCTCTCTGCTTTCTGTGTAAAATAGGCTCAGGTTACTTGGATTCCAGTGCATCTCTGTATCATAATGAGTCACAATTATAAAACACAGTATGTGTGTTTGGCCGACTGCAACATCCAATGAGGATTATTAGCTCTGATATTAACACTACGCATGTTAAGCTCATGTGGATCCATTAAACTAAACTTCCCTGAGGTGCACTTGCATTGCAAAGATACATCAGCCCAAAGGCAGTAAGTAAACCTCTCACCACTAGGTGGTGCAGTTGGTGCACTGAAAATCAGGGGTGATATTTTGAGAGAAACGCGAAGACATTTTTGTGTTCAAAAGCAAAAGAGATATTTTGACTCCATAAAAACAGACAAGCAACTTTAAACAATAAAGAGAGTACTGGGTGGTTGTATAAAGCTTTGATAAGAGGAAGATGCTGAAGAACAACATTTAACAAAATATTACATTCCACAAATATAACAGTTAAGCAGATATGTGCTGCTGCCAAGGCGCCTGCTGCTTGTACCAGAACGCACCTTTGTTTGTTTAGACGCAACTCTGGGAGGTCGATGAGATTCGTGGTTCGCTGTCCATGGACCCAGAGATTGGCTGGCATAGAAATCCATTGGATAGGTCTTCTGCCATTCTGCTTCTTTAAGAGCTACAGAGGCCTGCAAAACAACACATTGTGATGTGAATGTGAACTTACCACACCAAAACCATTTTGAAGTGTCTAAGCTCAGTGTAATATTTATACAGTGGCAAAAGGTATTCACCCTCCCTTGTCATTTTTCCTATTTTGCTGCATTACCACTTGGAATTAAAATGGATCCTGGAGGTTGTATTATTTGATTTACACAACATGCCTACCAGTTTGAGGATGCAAAATATTTTTTTATTGTGATACAAACAAGAAATAAGACAAAAATCCCCCAGAAAACGTGAGCGTGCATAACTATTCAGCCCCTCCAAAGTCAATACTTTGTGCAGCCACATTTTGCAGCAATTGCAGCTGCAAGTCGTTTGGGGTACATCTCTATAGGGTTGGCACATCTAGCCACTGGGATTTTTGCCCATTCTTCAAGGCAAAATACTTCCAGCTCCTTCAAGTTGGTTGGGTTTCGCTGGTGTACAATCTTTAAGTCATGCCACAGATTGTTAATTGGATTGAGGTCTGGGCTTTGACTAGGCCATTCCAAGACATTTAAATGTTTTCCCTTTAACCACTTGAGTGTAAATATTAGGGGTCTAAAGTCCTCAATCTCTTTTTCTGCAGCCTCTGTTCTAAATGAATGGAAAGCACAGAGGCTTCCCATTCATTTAGAAAATTTTAACTATCACCAGTTTCTGATCGCTCCAGTGTTTGCTTTGCGCAGAGGATTGGTAAATATCACTGATATTTACCGATCCTCCCGCTCTCCTTCCTGAGCTGCTCGGCACAGTCTGCAGCTTTTCCTCGGATCGGCTGCCTCTGCCCATACAGGCGGGGGAGAGCAGCGGGGATCTGAGAAGAAGTGAATCGCTGAAGCCGGCAGGGGGCCCGGAAGAGGGAGCGCTGTCACTGCAGGATGGCTGAGCGGTGAGGAGAGAGAGAGCCGGTGGCTGTCAGATCCTGGCCGAGCGGCTCTCTCCTCAATGCTTGTCTATCCTGAAGTGACAGCGCTTACTCCTCCTCCCCTCCCACCGCCGGCTTCAGCGCTTCAATTCTCCTCTGGTTCCCCCCAGATGGCTTCCTGCGTTCAGGGGCAGGAGGGGGTGTGGCGGTGCATTGAAATCAATGGCACCGCAGCCCCGCCTGCAGTGCGACCGCCCACACCAGGACATGTGGCACATTCGTGCCTGTGCTCTGCAAAAATGCTGCAAGCACTATTTTTGCAGAGCGCACTGGACCGGAACGCAGGCATTGATCTGCCACATGTTCTTGTGCGGGCAGTCTATCTGCGGGCGGGGGTGGGGGGTTTGCTGCGGTGTGCCATTGACATCAACGCACCATCATGCCCCCTCCCGCAGAAAGCTGGCCGGAATGCAATACAGTGCGTTGCAGAGGCTGACCGCTCTGGAACGCACTGTTTATGGTGTGAATCGGCCCTAAAACAAGTTTTTTTCTTGATTTCACTTCACCATTTTGGACTATTTTGTTTACTCTATGTCCATTACATTTAATTTAAAAAAATCCATTTTAATTCTAGGTGGTAATTCAACAATAACGGAAAAATGCTTTTTGCAAGCCACTGCTGCTTCATATGCTTCTAGACAAGGGAAGCCACTGGAAGCCAAGCTGACCAGGTCGATCCCAAAGCTGCAGATATTATTATTTGCCTCTCTTGTTCAATATATACCTTGTTATTGCTTTAATTGTTTTAACATTGCGTATTACAAAGACACAGTCCTGTCTCTTTTTTATCATTTGAAAGCAAGATTGTATTATTCTAAAATCCCCTTATGTGGAAGCCTCAGCAGGCCTATCTTGTGACCCTGGACACCATCATACCCACCAAACAAAAATAATTTCCAGGGAACTTGCAGGTAACCTGCAGAGGGTGACGTTAAGCTCATGATGTCTAACTAGACCTTTATACACTACAATCCCCACAAGATGGTTTACGGATCATACCTATGTATTTTTAATTTTATCTTCAATTATGGTGAAAGCTGTGCGATATAAAAGCGCTACCACACAAGAAAAAAAAAAACCCACATCCAAGGAAAAAATTCCAATGACATTATGATTTAGATTGACAGATCCAGCATCGTTGACCTTTTCTGGGTCTCTTAGAACTGCTTCATCTAACAGAGAGATTGGCAAACGTATGGTTGGATGAGCATCATGGGACACACAGGGCAACATCAGGATGTGGGTCAAAGACTGCCAATCTTTTCCTCAATGTTTGCATACCTTTCTACTATAATGAAGAGTGAGAAAAGGGTATTCTTATTCATGCCTGATTCACGATTTACTGATAACAAGCAACTCACAAACAACTCTAAAAGAAATCTCCATTGAATTAAAAAAACAGACTATCTCCAGCCAGAAAGAAAAACAGCATGGGTTCTTGTCCTATGACCCATGTAGTAAGTGAAATGTAGGTGCAAGAAAGAACCAGGATCCCACACAGCAGCCTGTATTACAGCAAGCGCCAGGTAGACAGACACATCATGTGTCTAGTTATGTCAAGCTGTGTGCCTATTTCTGCCTTTAAAGGGAATCTATAGCCTCTTTAAAGGTTCACTGACCGGAAAGGGATATTTTGTACGTGCAAGACCCCTGGTGCCCAACCTGCGGCTCTTTGACCCTTGGGGCCCCTGAAGACAGTAGTCTGTATTTTAGTGCTTACTCAAGCCACTAAAACAACATATTATTTAGACTGGCTTTTAGTGGTGAAATGGATTTGGTGATTTCTTTCATACGGTCTTACTTTTTTCTGTGCTGTCCATCCCGTTTTCTGATCTTTTATAATACTGAGAGAAATATAACATGTAAAAGCAGATTTTTAATTGGGCTGTAGGGACCATTGGTTTGTGAAGGGGCTATGATCTCTAGCAGCCTCATGTAATGTGTCTTTAGTCTATGGCCGTCTCCTGAAGCATCTTGAACAACCCCTATAGGATGTATGTTTGCAGTCTCTGACCATCTCCTCTAACATACTTATAGCCTCTGGCAATCTCCTGTTGCATGTATAAAGTCACTGATAGTTTTGTGCAGCAATGTCTGGAGACCATGTCAGTGGTTTTGAGGCCCCCATATCAAGCATGTTGGTCACCACTGAATAACTTGATTTGGTTGAATTACTTGATGGTTTCTTACCTCCCTCTAGTAGCTGAGTACAGAGGTCTCAGTGCCCATAGCTGTACCCACAATCTAAAATCTCGGCTTATACTCGAGTATATACGGTATATCAAAATCAAGAGTGGAAACACTTGAACACCCAGTTTGCAGCCAGAAATGCAAGACTGCAAGGCAGGATGAAACACCTCTACTCAAGTCCGTGTGAGATACAAGAAGCCAGTGTGCAGACTCCACCTATGAATGAAATATCACTCATCATAGACAGACGCCATGAGGCTTTTTTAATGGAAAGGTATAGTGCATGTTTATTTATTTTTAATGTTATGTTCAGATATATATACAGTAAACTCCAAGTTATCTGGCACCCATGGGGAGAACTTTCTCATGTCCGCTCCTCTGCTTTATGGGCGGATACAATAGCCAGACTGCTATTGCAATTTGAAATAGCCAACAGCAGGTTAACATTCTGCAGCCGACTGTGGAATCTATCTACTGGCCGGCAGCAAGCTGTAGACAAAGAATTTAGTTAGCCACTAAATAAATTTAGTTGACATCAAAATTTTTTAGGGTGCACCAAACAATCAACAATTACAAGTGTACATCAAGCCACCGTCCAAAAAAAATACAGTAAACTCCCCATTATCCGGCATTCAAGCAACCAGTACTCTCAAGCAACTAGCAAAAAAATATTTTTTTTTTGTCGGTTGCTTGAGAGTGCCGGTTGCTTGAGAGTGCCGGTTGCTTGAATGCCGGATAATGCCGGATTATGGGGAGTTTAATGTATTTACTACTTGCAGCCAGTAGGTGGTGTGCTCTTGAGATAATAAATGCATAGTTCTGCAGAGTTATTTACTACTATTCTGTTAACAGCCTGGGTGCTTAGATCTCCTTCTATATAGCTCCATTAACAATACAAACAGAGCAGAATTAGTCAGATAAGAGACACACAGTTCTCTCTGTCCTCTAGATCATATGGATATTCACCAATATTCAATTAGAAAGAAGCAGCCAACAAGTGACCTGCCAGTGCTGGGATTTCTATGTAGGAAGCCTATTATGCTCTGTTATTTCATGGAAACACATTGAAGGGAATTTATCAAAACTGGAGCAGACAAAATATGGAGCAGCTGTGCAGGACAACCAATCAACTTCTTTGTCTCATTTTCAAATCTTCACTGAACCAATTAAGTGTGAAGCTGATTGGTTGCCATGCACAGCTGCTCCAGTTTTGATAAGTTCCCCCCATTATGTTAGATGTTTATTTATCATCAGTATACAAGCAATTGCTTTTACTTTAAATGATCTTACCAAAAAGTACATACAGACATGCTTATAATTGACCATTACATATACATTATGTGCTTCCTGCTTTGAAGGTAGCATGCCGATAGTTTTTCTGATCCTGCTACCTCCATTAAGGTCTACAATCAAAGTGTTGCTAACAGACTTCGATTGAAAAAGGTATACTAGGGTGCATATAGAGTATATTATCATCAATTAAGGACATCTACTGATCCTCATTAAACATTGAAGTCTTCTTTACATAAACATTACATCCTCTAAACACCTACATTTGGTTACTGCTGGATTCTGATGGTCTGGCTCTCATTTGTCAGTGACTCCAGTGTTGGGGGTTACCTAGTACACATCCTGGCTCTCTCCTAGCAGTGTAAACTGCGTTTAAATAGGGAGAGGGATTTTCTTGCAATGGCTGCAGCAGGTGAGAAGAGGTGGAATTTAGAATCAGCATTCCTTAGACTAGATACACAAGAATCAGTTAGGCAATTCAACGGGCTGCAACGGGCCACTACTCAAATATCAATTTTGTGCAGACTGAACTTTCACTACAATTTCTATAAGAAGAAAGGGACATAATGACAAACCTCATATGGAGTAAGCAGAGGCTTTGCGAAGGCTGTTCCCCAGTCAATTGAGAGTCTTGGGCAAGCAACCTGCACCCACCTGTAAACAAAAGTACATACACAATATGCAGTTAGATAATAAATGCAAACCTTTGAAGAGCAACAGAGTCTTCTTAACAATGCTCTACACAGGCAGCAGGTCTTTATGTTTAAAAAGTGTTCTTAATCGAAACTTTCCCGCTGCCCATAAAAACCAGAGTCCTTATTTAACTACGCCTTGCAGGATTGACAGCCAGAAGTCAATTTGTTGCAATAGGCTTTTATTTGCACACATTTCATACGTAATCCTCTTCAAGTGTATGTATAACTTAGCAATTCATTTTTCTAATTTGTTCACTTTTGGTCTGTTAAAGCCCAACTCCAGTGACATTAAACGTTTTCCCTTGTACTGGGGCTGCCCCTGCACTGCAAGAGTTAACTGGTCATACATTCATGGCCAAAAATACTGGCACCCCTGCATTTCTGTCAAATAATGCACCACTTCTCGCAGAAAACTGTTGTAATTACAAATGTTTAGGCATTCTCAGGTTTATTTCTTTTGTTTGTATTGGTATGACACAAAAAAGTGGAGAAAAAAAAAAACAAAATCTGACACATCCCACACAAAACTCAAAAAATGGACTGGACAAAATTATTGGCACCTTCTCCAAATTGCAAGAAATAATTGCATTCCAAGTTTTTGTGGAAAAGCATAAAAAATCTCAAGGTTACAAGTCCATCTCCAGAGATCTTAATGTTACTACCAGACAAATTCAAGCTGACCTTCAGGCACAGGGTACAACGGTGTCAGCTTGCACTATACGTCGCCATCTGAATGAAAAGGGACACTATGGTAGGAGACCAAGGAGGACCCCACTGCTGACACAGAAACATAAAAAAGCCAGATTGGAGTTTGCCAAAACGTACCTGAGGAAGCCAAAATCCCTTTGGTAAAATGTGCTGTGAACAGACGAAACAAAATTACAGGTTTTTGGCAAAGCCCATAATTCTATTGTTTTCAGAAAAAGAAATGAGACCTTTAAAGAAAATAACACAGTCCCTACAGTCAAACATGGTGGAGGTTCACTGATATTTTGGGGTTGCTGTGCTGCTCCAGGCACTGGATGTCTTGACTGTATGTATGGCATTATGAAATCTATATACTACCAAAGAATTCTGGGCTGCAGTGCAGGGCCCATTGTCAGAAAGTTGGGTCTCCGTCAGAGGTCATGGGTCTTACAGCAGAACAATGACCGAAAGCACGTGTCAAAAGCACCCAGAATTGGTTTCAGACAAAGCGCTGGAGAGTACTGGATTGGCCAGAGATCTCAAAACAGCAGTTGGGAAAAGGAACCCTTCCAATCGGAGAGACCCGGAGCAGTTGGCGAAAGAAGAGTGGTCCAAAATTACTGTAGAGAGGTTAAGAAACTCATTGATGTTTACAGGAAGCAATTGATTTCAGTTTATTTTTTCCAAGGGCTGTGCTACCAAATATTAATTGAGGGTGCCAATAATTTTGTCCAGTCCATTTTGGAGTTTTTTTCGTGGAATGTGTCAGATTTGTCATTTTTTTCTCCACTTTTTTGTGTCATACCAATACAAACAAATGAAATAAACATGAGAATGCCTAAACATTTGTAATTGCAACAATTTTCTGCGAGAAGTGGTGCATTATCTGACAGAAATGCAGGAGTGCCAATATTTTTGACTATGACTCTAAATGTCTAGGGGACAGGAAAAATGGTTTTACTTACCTGATCCTTATATGTCAATGTATTCCTTCGTAAATACAGTACAATAAGCTAGCATCGTCACCCTAGGACATTAAAGCCTATGACAAAATGAGAGGCGTGGAACTGAGTGCAGCCAGATGAAAGACTTCATCTTCAGCCAATCGATGGACTTCACATCCTGACATGGGTTTATATGCGCGAGCCGATTGACTGAAGATGACATTTTTCATCTCAGAATGCTTAGCTATGCTAGCCCTTGCAAGCTGACACGCCGGATCAAAAATGAAAAGACACACTGCAGACGAAGGTCTGCGCGCCGCTGCTTCGCATGCAGTGTGTCACAGGCTTAAGTGTGTTAGGACTAGAGAGCACCTCCCTCTATATTAAGAAGAGGAGGAGAAGGGATGGTGTACTGAAGTCTTAACATGCCTCTTGTCTCAGGGTGACAACACTGCTCATAAATACTATACCGTGAGAGAGCATTGTTGCCCTAAGATAGAAGTGAGTTACCAGCAGGATCACTAGGTGACAAAGAAGGAGAAAAAGCCAAATAAATTAAAACTAATGCTCCCACCACATCTAAGGACCAGTAAGCTGCAATATATTACATTGCTATTATTATTATACAGGATTTATATAGCGCCTATAGTTTGTGCGGTGCTTTACAAAATAATTTGCTTTGTTTCTTGGATTTAGATACACTTCAAGTCCTAATATAACAATGATAAGTACCTGAATAAAATGTGCTACAGGAAGTAGAAAAAGCCTTGTTGCCCATAACATGAGTCTCCCAACTATCTTTTCTACAGCTCAGGTTTAAAAATGGAGGAAAAGAGTTTTTATTTGTTGCTTTGGGGAACAAGAATCTTTTCTGTAAGCACATCAGTCATATATATCGGCCCCGTAGTGAATAGTGGACTGGTTGTGACCCTTTGATGACTATGTGAGAACTTCTTAAGCATGAAGCTGTCGCCTTGAGGGTCGAAAGGGTTAAGAAAAATGAGATTTGAAACTACATAACAAAAAAAGAAAAGTTGTTCAGCCTTTAAAAACCAGTCATAAAATATTCTGTTTATAATTTAATGTAGCATCCAGTTCAGTCCGGTGAAGGATGATGTTCCACCACATTTGTGGTTTATGATACTTTTTTTAATGGACTGGCTGCATTTTCTCCTAACAAGCTTTCGGGAGCTAACCTCTTCTTTTCATCAGGTCAGAAATAATAGGCATCTCATTAATGCTCTTAACTTTACTGTTCTTGTTAAGTATAAACAGTTAAGGGGATTTTTGTTAGCTTTATTTTTTTCTTCTTCTTTCTTACGTCTATTATTTCTTTTTTTGTGTCTAGAATGTTAGAACACTTGCCAGATCTGTTCACAACTCTAAACGGTTTGCACCTAAAAGCTTTTCAGAAGACAGTGCAGTAAGTCCATTACATAAAAAAAAAGACTAACAAATGTCTTCAAAGTAATATTTTTACATTTCAGTTATATGGCTTCAGTTGAACGTCGACTACAAATATAGGAAATAGATGAGTGTGTATGTAATAGTAATGTTATTATATGAGTAATGTGCTCCCTTTGCAAAATACAAGAATATTTGAGGTCACACAAATGTTCCTTCACTATATTAAACCATGAAAACTATGGTGACCTTCATATGTTCCGAAGGGGTATATAATTGCTGGTAATACATAAGTTCCAATTTAAAGAGCATTTTGCTATGTGTGGTGATCCTTGTATCTAAATGTATTTAACCAGTTATCCAGTCCTTCATAAACCCTTAAAGTACCAAACATGTTATAAGCTCAATGCCTACAGTAGGTTTTGTGCTGATCTCTTTCATACTCCCATCGGTATTCCTGCGCACATTGGATTTTTTCTTTAGCTCAGACAAGACTTTTTGACAATAAAAGTATGCACCTCTTATTTCAGCGTTAAAAAGGAAAGGCTTAGAACTGAGTATTCTTTTTTTCTCGCCCTTGAAACTCTAGCTTGCCACTGCCCTAACCGCAGCCCAAAATATGGCCTAAGCACAACCCAATTTACTGCCATAACTGTAGAACAAATAACCCCCCGAACGTTACCCCAAATTACCGCCCTAACCACAAACGTAACCACAACCATATCCAAGACCCAAATTACCACCCTCATCACAAATATAACCACAACCATATTCACAGCCCAAATTACCTCCCTAACCGCAGCCCAAATTACCTTCTTAACCGCAGCCCAAATTACCGCCCTAACCGCAGCCCAAATTACCGCCCTAACCGCAGCCCAAATTAACGCCCTAACCGCAGCCCAAATTAACGCCCTAACCGCAGCCCAAATTACCTCCCTAACTGCAGCCCAAATTACCTCCCTAACTGCAGCCCAAATTACCTCCCTAACCACAAACATAACCACAACTATATCCAAAGCCCACATTACCACCATCATCACAAATATAACAACAGTCATATTCACAGCCCAAATTACCGCCCTGACCGCAGCGCAAATGATCACCCTTAGCCTATCAATAAAAATAAAAAAAAATAAAAAAAATGGTCATATTAAGGCAGGGCACCATTAACATATTCAGGGCTCATTCACATGGAGTCTGTTCACTCCAGCAGTTTGTCATTGTAGTTAATTCACAATCCATCTAAAACACATCAGTACAACAACACATGCCTTCTTTTGTGAATGAGCTCTTATAGTTATAGAAATATAGAAATGTCACAAGTCACATTTCATTAAGTGCTATTGGGACAGCACGGTGCAATGCAGTTGTACCACATCGTGGCCCATTGCGCTAAAATAAAGTACTTTTTTTCAGCGTACACCACCGCAACTCTGTGGAGTGAACTGTGCCCTTCAATGACCAGGCAAATTGCCTAGTCTTGCATTGGGGCTGCCCTGGAAAAAACAGCCTCAATGCATTTGTTGTGGATCTAGCCTTAACATATGCAAGTCATTTATGTAAAGGACCCTGGGGAAATTAATGGTCTGCTTTATTTCACTTTTTATTCACCATACAGTATATGTTATGTTTTTACAAGTATGATGACATCGCTTCCTATGAGCAGTGACATTAGCTATTAGGATCTTGTTCATTTTGTCTATCATATATGGTATATGCATTGAGTACTTGTAGGCAGTGAAAAAACATTTTTGGGGGGATTTAATGAGGATATTATTTTAATTTAAAAATAAAACTTAGCTTCAGACTGCGCTAGAAACTTTCATCTTAAGCATCAGTAGGACCATCATCCATCTGTTAGAGAGCAACTTTTGCCAAAATTTTAAGACTGAATGCAGCCATAATTCTTCACAAACAAAATATGCACATCTTATTTCTTAGAAGTCAGTGCCACCCTCCTCTGCTGGCTCAACCTCAACTAGAAGCTGCAGGGGAGTTAGGTACACTGTGGCGTCCGGCGTTGGCAGAGGCTAACACAAGAGTGGGCTGTTTTCTAAAGCCGGAGCAGACTGTTCTTGAATGAGTTAGCCTCTGCCTGCAACAGAAAAGAAGGGCCGATTTAGCTTGGCAATACACTGATGGGACAGTTGGGGGACTCATAGTGGCACTGTTGTGTTAGGATTAAATAACTAAATAATGTATTGTTTCAATTACATATTTGCACACCATTATGGCTGCAAAGTGGTAGAGTATAGTTCCTGTTAAGCACACAGTAGGGTCAAAGGTCCACATAAAAGAGAACTGAACACTGGAAGCTGTTCCTAAAGTAAGGCAGACAGAGGGCAAAAGACTGGTCGATAGTATTACCAGTGTGCTACTTGCAGCTGATTTTTTTTCCCCATTACTGACATACCATGCTTACTGACATACCACTATCTGCATGGTTTTTAAACAGTTATGGATGGTGGCAAGCATACTCCTGTTGCGGGGAAATGGTGGCCTCCGGGTTGGTTCAGCTGCGCGGCTCCAATGATCGCAAGTAGCGGTATCTTTTGGCGAAGCTATAGCAAAAACAAAAAGAACAAGCAAGAGTGCCACAACCTAGCGCAATGAAAACTGATGGACACAGTGGAATGTAGAATAACAATGTTGCACTCATGTGTGTGTAGCAACACAGAGATTTGTGGAGTTGGTTCAAAGTAGCGGAGAATGTTGTTGTGGAGGGGGTACGTGTCTGTTTTGATCTCATGTATGAACCAGTGAGATGTGGAACACCTAGGAGCCTTGGTGGAATGCCGTGTACTCGCGGTTATTGCATCCATTCAATATCAGTTTTCCAAGGACAGGCAGATGTTGGTGATAGAGATTCTTCAACCTGTGCCTACTTGTAGTCCAGGGGTACTTTTTCACCATCTACAGCAAATTGTCCGGTCAATGCTTGTTGGACATTGGACTTTAGGCTCTGGCCCTGCCCTGGACACCTGTCTCTCTGGGACGATCTGCCACCAAGCCAGGGGAGCATCACAGCCCACCTGCCTGGCTCAGCAGGACACAGACGGCTGATCTTCAGTTCCACCTGAAGCCATCCACCCCAGAGGTCCAGATTAGAACCAGTCTTCAGTTTTTTAGCAGACTGGCTACACCACACACCGCTGCCCTCCACCACCACTGCTGCAGCCACTGGTGACTCATCCATCCAGCCGCTACTGCCCTTCGGCCTTCTTTACCAGTGACATCGGGTCCACTCCAAGGCTACACGGCATTCCACCAAGGCTCCTTCTAGGAGTTTCGCATCCCACTGGTTTTGTAATCTAGAGCAAAACACAGACCTGTATCCCCCTCCCCTGCTACTTTGAACCAATGCCGAAAGTCTCTGTGTTGCTACTTCTTTTCATTGCGCTAGGTTTTGGTGCTCCTACTACCTGCACAGTGATTTTCTTGGTAGGGGCAGGGTTTTGCTTCCTCACATCAGAGCTTCCTCTCAAATTATTTAATTTTACCCATAGCAGGTCTGTTTAAGACCTGTTTTTTTTACCAAAAAGGCCAGGTACATGGTGCAATTGTGTTTTGGAGGACAATCAATATCATGCAAGGCAACAGGCATCTATGTCAGCCCCTGATACACAGGGGAAAGTTCTGAGTGCATTTATTGCACTGTTTCTATTGATGAAGTGTGATAAATATTCAATCGTTTTTTATGGTACTGCAGTTAAAGTATCTTTTACAAGACTGCAACCTGTAACAAGGATGATTATTTTGAAAGACATAAAGTAAGGGGAGTAGTTACTCTGCATTGGTGAAGCTGGCTTAAAGCCTGCAATTTGAAACGGTACTATAACAGCAAGGAAAAAGAAAGGCCAAAACTGGTATTTGGTGTGAGAGACTGAAGTTGTTTTGTGCTAGACATGAAGGGATGCAACCATTGACCTTCAAAAGCCACTTTTACAAAAGAGCATTGCAGAAACATTTCTCAAAACTGCTCTCCCAATTTCCCAAAACAAAATTAACAGAAATTTTTTATTTTGTAGCATTGGGCCTCTTCAACTTAACTACTTTACTAGACTCCTTGAGTGCTGTTCTCTTTAGTGCCATCTAAGCTGAACACTTTAACGTGATACTAAACTCAGAAGTTAAGTCTTAAAAATGCGTTCAAGTACCTTAACTGTTAACAAAAATCTATCTTATTTGTGTATCACTCAGCTGTAGATCCTCAAATTATCTCCGAATTGGTGCTGACACTGTCCTTCCTTCTGGAGGGTGACTACCTGTGTGTATTGTAAAGCAGCAACCAACCCAAACTCACTCCAGTCATAGACTATAACTTCAAGATAAAATGAGTAAACTAAAGATGAGATTGTAATCCATCACAGGAGTGAGCTTGGAGTGGTGGCTACTTTACAACACACATGGACCATGGGGAACAAAAGTAACCAACATCCAGAAGGAAGGACAGTGTCAGCACCAATTCAGAGATGATTTGAGGATCTACAGCTGAGTGATACACAAGTTACATTTTTGTTGATAGTTAAGGTACTTTCACTTTTAAGAGTTCTGCCCAGAGATTTAAACAGCCAACAGCCCTGTCTGACAGCTCAGCCAGGCTGATGACCAGGTTTTTCTTACACACTACAGCCTGGTCACTTTCCTGCCCCCAAGATTGTAATTGAACAGTGAAGGAGAGCAGAAAAAATGATTAGGTCATCTCTCTCCTCTGTCCTTCTGGCACTATGTCTCTTGTCAGCACAGGTGCACTGCATCACAACGGACTGGCTTCTAGTTCTGACCCTCCCACTCCCAGTCTGAGTGCTTCTGTACAAAGAATGATAGGAGGCTAATAAGTCAGATTCAGGTACTCATAATAGTTGCCTTTAATGTATGTAATGAGTTCTGGTTGAAAACATAACTTTATTAATTGGTGTTTTATATCTGTCAGCAGTTGAGCTTTAAAATGTTCACACTAGATCTAAAGCTAACTTAACTTTGCAAAAAGCACATGCATAAAGTATAACATCTATAGGCCCCATTTACATGGGTGATGAGGTTCATTAGACAGTTTATTACCTGGTACTATTCCCCATGTAAACACACGTATGCCTGCCTCTATTTTTCTGTGTGTCTGTCATTCACATGCAAAGCATTGCTGCAGTAAACCTTGGCAAGCACAAAGAAATCCTACTTTGCATCTTAGGTGCCTCAAAATTTACTGCAGTACTGGGATGTGCCATATGTTGATGACATCTCCTTTCACAAAAGATAAATGGATGCAATCACACATGTGCTGATGTCCATTAGAGTGCACAAAATTAACCTTCGTCTCACTGTAGCACTTTTCATTCCATCTGAATGAGCCCACAGTATTCAGTGCTTAGTAGTCTACATGTGCAAATAAGGAAGCAAATAAAGACATGTTCTATATGTAAGGCCAACAATGACCCAAAGTGCAGTTCCACCGGGATGTTTTCAGACAAAATACCGCTTTACATAATGACATTATCCGGTTGGGAAGTGGCAGTGTATTCGTGTCAAGTTGCAAGCAAGTCCCCTCCTAATTTCACCCCATGCTGAGGACTGTGCACAGTGTGTGTCTGTGTTTACAGCTTTGCTCTCTGTACTCACGCTTCCACCTCTGGGAACAGCTTGAGTTTATTAGGGAAGATTTCCGACAGCAGAAGCCGCACGTAACGACAGCCGAGAGCCTGTAGACGTGACTCCAGGTGCTGGGAGAAGGGAGAGAGAGGCACAGTGTGTTACACAAAAAAGAGGAGAGCTTTTTTGGGGTAAGGCAGCAATCCAAACCTCATCCCTCAGAGAGTACGTCTTAATTAAGTCAGAAGCTACAGAATAACAAGCTGATATGTGCGCTAAAGGTTTTATTAGCAAAACAGTATGAATGGAACTCATTGTAATATAAGTATTGTAGTTGTAATACATATACATGCATACATATGGGTCAGCATCTTCCTCCCATGCTTTTCAGAAAGGCCAGATGCATTTTAGTTCACCCAAGCCTGCTCAAAATTGTGACTACCACCCCTCCCAGCCCAATCAGTTGCAGAGAGGCGCATTCCCCGCCCTACAGCTATACATCACAAAGCGGCAGGCAAGTACTGCCACTGATTGGTTCGGGAGGAGGGGTGGCAGTCTCAGTTTTGAGCGGGCTTAGACAAACTCAGGTGAACTGGGTTCGCTCCAAACCCAAGCTAGTATCTAGTCTTCATTAGAATCAATATGCATCCAAACCCACCATATTTCTTTTTGCATTTAGGTCTCTGGTGAACCACCCTGCAGGCCCAATGGGCTGTCACTTGGTGAACTGTTCAACTTGGGGCATACGGCAAAGTACCAGTGCTGGTGTCTTAAACACTGTTGGTTATTAATTCAATAAACTATGCAGCAGGAATATATACAGGCTATTCTGCCTACAATGTTAACGGGGAAGTCCTTCCAACCAGGTTAAAAGGCAGCAAAGTTCTCACTCAGTCCACCTTTCACAAGGCCTGCTGCAATCAAAGGTTAGCACCCCAACAATTCAGACAAAGGTGTAGGGGTGCAGTGGCAATTATGTTAAGGTTTCCTCCTGCCTTTGTGCTATGGTGCAGAGCATCCTAGACTCCTGAACTAACCAACTGTCACTAGCAATGCTGTAATTAGCCACTACATATATTTGTATCTATTTTCCAGATGGACAAAATTAAAAGGATATGTACTCCCAGGCCTCACACCATCAAAAGTTTACTAACACAGAAGTCACTTTACATAGTTGTTGACCTACCCAGAGGCATGTCCATGAAAACCTTCTGAATTTACAATAGATCACATAGTAAGTGAGCTTTCTTACTTTTACATGTCACCTTGAACATAAGTGTGCGATTGAAGATTTGCTTTTGGTACAGAATTAATAAATACAGCACACTGCCATTATATAAAAGCCTTATTATATAATTGCCTCAATAAGAAAGGGGCCTAACTCTTGACAATCATATTGTTATGGTCCTTGTGCACTCCAATAATCTTTCTCTTTTTTAGCGTAATATTTATTTATATTCAACAACATGAAAACAGCAGCAGGTCTGTGACCTCAGACACAATTAATCTATTCACATTTGCCTGGCCTTGCTTTAGTGGAACATAATTTGATTTTATGCAGGAAGGGAAAATGTATTTTAACATATTTTTTATTTAGCCTCCCCTTCAGACCTTCACCCTTTGTGTTAGTGTCGCTTCAGCTCCCTTCAGCCTGCGTTACTAATACTGCCATGGGATCGCTGCCTGAATCGGAGTGTGCCTAGTAGACCACCAGCAGGTGAGCAGTTAATGGATTTTCACTATCATTATTTATTACACATCACTTTAGCTGACATGGGAGGCAAGAAGGCATTTTATTAGAAAATGTGCTTCTGATGTCTACCTGAGACGTGGGGACAGGGTGAGGATGACAAATTATTTCTTACGCAATGATTCCCTGTCACACACCCCTACTGCTTGAGCTCCTGCCTTGATTCGCATGCTGGAAGTTAATTAAGGCCCCCTGTTTTCCACATGGGATGGGAGTGGATGGATAAATAACCAACAATAACCATTCCAAGTTCATTTAATGAGAAGTGCAAATAATAATTGTGGTTCTGTAATTGCAGCCAATAGATTAATGAGACCTGTCCTCGTTACACAGGGTAGACAGAGGAATACTCATTAGCAGCAACGCGACAGGGTGCTGCTGGGAGCTAAAACAAAAGACCCTGGTAAAATATGAAGACCTAATCCATAGACAAAGCAGTAATCCAACACGTGTGCACACACACACACACACACACCAATCCACCCCCACAACCCTTCACACAAACAAATGACACCTCTCACTACCAGTGCCCCACTCAGACAACTGGAACTCCCCCGGAGCTAATTGGAGCAGTCACACAACACTCAATCCTTCCCCACACACAGCATGGCACTAAAGCACCTACACCATCTCCTCTCTGCTGAGTAGAATCTTTCAGAACCGCCACCAGTTCTGGACTCGGGCCTACATGCCATGGACTCGGGCCTACATGCCATGTGTCCATTTTAATGATCTGCTTTGGAGACTAAAAATGAGAGGGTGACAGTGACCTCACTCTTCCTTATTTGCAAAGAAAGATGTAAATGAGGAGAAAAACAAATCTTTGCTGAGATTAACAAGGACTAAAAATGTATCTCCCTAGAGGAGGGGAGGTGAATTCATGAAACAGGATTACGTTCAGGTACGGAGAGCGAGCCGATGGGGACAGATTACTGCTGGTCTTTACTGTCCTCTATCAATGTGTTAACCATTAGATCAATCCTGAAAACCACTGGATCAGATTCTACTCTGCGTTTTTGGCAGTGAAGCAGTTACAAGTAATATTTTAAGAAATCACTTGTTCTCTAACTTCAGTCATCATCACATACTTCAGTGTCAAATCCTCCAGCGATTTTCAATTAATGAGAAGCTGCATTAAACGAAAAAAAAAAAAAAGAGAGAGAGAGACAGTGAGTGTCTTAAAGAAGAAGACACAGGTGTGAGTCTAATCAAAAGCTGGATAACGAACAAGTAGAATTTAATTTTGTTCATGCTTGATTACTACAAGCAAGCCAGCTATGTCCTTACCTCCAGGATTTTAGGTGAACCCTGACGTCCCAAAGTACCGAGAATGAGGCCCCACATTTTAGCACCAGTGGCAGACTTGATTGCTTGACTTCGATTTTCCAGCATGGCACTGTGGTTGTAGTACTCCCTGGAGAAAGCTTTATTATATGGATCATACCTACAGTAATAAAGGGAATAGAGTCAACCCTTGTATAGATAACCACCAACTCAGCTGTAAATGTAATGACCGGGTACCCAGACAGCTAGGGACTGATTGCACATACCTGCTGCCAGCCACAATATCCCTAATAGGTACCTCCATTTACAAAAAATGACTACAGGTTTGACAGATTGGATTTTTACTACTGCGGAATATCAACATTAAATGTGTAATGCACAGGTGGTTCTTACATAAATGTTTTCCAATAATGCAACTTTGTTACAGACATATACAGTACGCTACTGACCCTGTACAACAGTCCTAATATTGCGAGAAAAGGCTATAGAGGATGTACAGTCCAATAAAATGTTACACACTTGATTTGGTATAAACGGTTCTGCAAACTTCTTAGACCACTTAAAAGATGGTGCTGACAGCTCCGTTAGGGTGGGGTGTAGTTTTACATCACTTGCATCTCTGTAAATCCTAGGGTCCTTCACACCTCTGCACATACGCATACACGTATTGACTCCCAGACCTGCTGTCTGTTTGAAAACTGAAGCCCTGATTGCTATAAGCACCAATTGTCAGAAACAGGTATTTCAGCATCAGTGCTTGATAAAAAATAGACAAATTGATATATTGTAGTTAGCTGCAACTTTTTTTTTCTTTTTTTACACGAGTAACTCAAGCAAACCTGGAAGTACAAGTTTTTTGTTTTTTTTAAAGTCTTTCCTAGTTATCCCCAGATAAACCCATCTAGATCTGAAAAACTCCTTCCACTTCTTTCAACCCGTAGCTATTTTTTTCCTATATAAAATGTTTATACTTTTCATAAAAATATATATTTTTGAATTTTTGTTGAATTTGTTAATGTATTCTTTTTTGTAGTTTAAAAAAATACACCAAATAGAAATATAAATCTACATTTTTGGCACACTTTCAGGGCTATTCACAAAAGGGTGAATAGTTTGGGGAAGGCAGGAGAAGTGAACAATCTAGGACAACATATCTGAACTGGAAAGTGAGCTGAATTGGAGAATGTTTCCAAATCAGCTATGTTGGCCTAGATTGTTCACTTCTCCTGCCTTCTACAAACTCTTTACCCTTTAAGGTGCCCATACACCTTACGATTATCGGACGAAACTTTTCGTCCGATGATCGAACCGTCGTACGATTTTCGTACGACGGCCCCATCCTGCCCCGATTATCGCAAGGTTCAATCAGCGGTAGTTAGAAAAAAACACCTGGACGACTTGCGGTAATTGACCTTATTTTAGTTTGCGCATGCGCAGTGTTAATCGTACGACTTTTGACGGACGGAAACGCCACCAACCATGCGAACATCGTACGATCAACCAAAGTTTTCAAACATGCTTGACCGTCAAAAGTCGTACGATTGTACAGTACTATCGGTCGGGCACTCTATTCACACGTTACGATTGTCGTACGAAAAGTCGATCGCATACGATTATCGTAAGATAATCGTAAGGTGTATGGGCACCTTTAGTGTTTGTATCAAGAACATTGATTACATTTATAATAATACATGTTTTCCACATCATCACTTTTCAAACTGGAAAACATGCATATTTCGTGCCTTTAAATGATATAGAAAATTAAATAACTCCCACAAGACAATAGCACCAGCAGAGATCCTGGTTTCACAAAACAAAATATAACTCACTTCTGTGTTATTGATATCATAGTTACTGCCAAATAATTAGAATGCTCATTGCCCCTTGAGTTGGAACCACAAAATCACCTACTTGCATATTTTACACTTTTAGCATGTTTTAGCATCCAATCAGAATGTTTTGACCCAGGTTTAAACCTCACAAAATTCATTTGTTGGGACACCCAGAAAAGCCATTTCAAATTCCAAGAAAGAAGAGAGCCCATGTGTTCTCCTATGAACCAAGGAAAGCTTTCCTAAATGTATCCTTCCCACCAGGTAAATGCCATTGAAATGACAACTAAATAAACAATTCTGGCCGGGGAATACGAAGGCCTCATACACACAGATGTATATATAGCCTTATAGGCATACAGAGTGAAATACATCTGTATTTGCAGCCCCCCAGAGCCCAGCTGCTGCGTTTTTGTGACCATACAAATGTATTAACAGAATATGCAATGCTTGGGTATATACGTGTAAATGCTGGTAAGTTTCACATTCTGAAATCAACGCATACATACATACATACACGTAAACACAAGTAACAATGTTTACACGCATATACTCTTGTCCAACATATTCTGTCAATACATCCTTTGGGCACAAAAACGCTGGAGCATATTTTATGCTGCACGCCCATATGCCTGATGTTCTTACATTCAGATTCCTGCTGCAAATCACAACCATTGTTATGTTTCTCCACTAATCATGTTTTTAGCTCCTTGCTCCTTCATTAATGTATGGGTCACAGTCAATGACTTTAAAAGGGCACAATTACATTACAGCATTAAATAAGAGGAAAGGAATCAATGGTGGAACTTCACAGTGGCAAGTCCTTACAGCAGGGCTCCTAAGGCGAGAAAAAGCACAAACGCACAGAACAAACACACCCAAAACTATGATTATTTTTTTTTGGTATGTGTGTGTGTGTGTGTGTGTGTGTGTGTTTAAAATAAAATATGAATTTGCATGAAGACACACTGCTGTATACAAAGATGCTGATATTCTGAATTCTGGCAAGGGATTTATTTCTATTCTTTTTTTTATTTCTAACAGAAGGCAGATACACTGTATGGCCAAAAGTCTGTGGACATCTGACAATCACACCTACCTATATGGCTAAAAGTATGTAGATACTAGGGCTGCCTGTAGAACTTGTCCTGGTACGGTACTTGAAATAGGTGGTACCCAGGCAAAGGTCCAATAAGGCACACACTTGATCTGGATTAAGTTCTGTTCTGCTGCCTAGGACAAGTTCTACAGGCAGTAACAATGCTGTGCCATGGGATCTCCAGCTTCACCTATTGTGGGGAACCTGTACATGGAGGAAGTAGAAAGCAAGGCCCTGACCACCTTCAAGGGAATTACACCCAGTCATTGGTTCAGATATGTGGATGACACTTGGGTTAAGATTCACAAACAAGAGTTACAGGCTTTCACTGACCATACCAACTCAGTGGATCATAACATAACTTTACGCGGAATGATATGCAAAACAACAAACTGGCTTTTTTGGATTGTTTAGTAGCATTAGACGACGGAAGGAGGCTAGAAATAGAAGTCTACCGAAAACCAACACACACGGACCAGTACTTGCTATTTGACTCCCACCACCCTTTAGACCACAAACTGGGAGTCATCAGGACTCTACAACACCGGGCAGAGAAAATTCCCACCAGAACAGAGGCCAAGACGAAGGAATTCAGACGCCTCAGGGGGGCCCTTAAAACTTGCGGGTAGCCAGACTGGGCTTTTGTCAAAACAGAAAAAAGGAGAGGAAAGAATGCCAAGAGTACCAGTGAGGGTGAAAAGCATGACAAACGGAAGAATTAGCTGGGGTGTCTGAGAAACTCAGAAGGGTTTTAAAAAAAACATCACATCCCTGTCTGCTTTAAACCCAGCAATACACTGAGGCAACACCTGGCTCACCCAAAAGACCCAACACCAAAACACAAGATGAACAACATTGTGTATGCAGTTCAGTGCAGTGAGGAGTGCTCAGAATTGTATGTTGATGAAACAAATTCGCAGCTACACCAGCGTATGGCGCAGCATAGAAGAACAAAACCCTCTGGTCAAGATTCTGTAGTATACCTACATCTATAGGAAAAAGGTCATTCCTTTGAAGACAGTCAAGTACGCATCCTAGACAGGGAGGAAGACTGGTTTAAAAGAGGTGTGAAAGTGGCCATTTATGTAAAAATGGAGAAATCAAGCTTGAATAGAGGTGGGGGGGTGGTAGAGGTGGGGGTGAGACATCTATCGTCTGCCACATACAATGCTGTTTTAACACCTCTCTGGGCAGGCTAATAACACCTCCTAGACTCCAATTATGCAAATGCAATCAACACCTGATTGTGACTAACAGATTATGTGGATTGGAGCAACATTCACCATATTTATTCCCAGATAATTTTTTGTACAAGTCATTCTAAATTGAGAAAGTCGTTCGCCCACGCCTGCTCCACCTTGCTTCTTCTCCCCGCATCTCTGTGCCAATTGTGGGGGCGTCTGTCAGCGGCGAGCGTTAGGCGGGGAGGAGGTGCGGCGCGCGGATTGTGTGGAGCCGCTAACAGGGGCAACTAATCGACTTTTGATTCTATCAATTATAATCGGCTTAGTCGATTAGTTGTTACATTAATTGTATAATACATTATACTATAATGTATTTTTGCTGGGATTTGTTGTATTCCTCTATAGCTGGTGGTATTCTACATTGCGCTACTGTATAATGTATTATTGCTGGGATTTGTTGTATTGCTCTATAGCTGGTGGTATTCTGCATTGTGCTGTATAATGTACTATTGCTGGGATTTTCCTCTATACAGCGCAATGCAGAATACCACCAGTTATAGAGGAATACAACACATTCCAGCAATAGTACATTATACAGCACAATGCAGAATACCTCCTGCTATAATGTACTATTGCTGGGATTTGTAGTTCTCTATAGCCAGTGCCATTCTGCATTGATTGCTGTATAATTTTACACTTTCAATTTCACTATATTGCACACCACACATTTTTTTTTTACTTCCACCGCTCCAAGCTTGCTTCTGTGATGGACTACAATCTCAATAACAAGCCCCTGTGTGATAGCATTTGGAGGTGACAGATTCTCTTTATTGAACTGTGACAGGTTCTCTTTATTGAACAGCAGCACTGTGCTGGAACTCCTGCGACAGCTGAGAGGGGAAGGCTGCTAGTGCAGCTCTCCCGTCTCAGTGTGTACATGGAGCAGAGCGGAGAACGGACGTTCTCCATCCTGAGGATCTCAATCCGGCGGAGAGAGGTACACGGATGGCGTGGGGAGGACGGAGCCTGAAGATTTACAGAGAGG